CTTTTTTCCATAGAGTGGCGAGAATATGCACATGGTCAACTACGTGAGTTGATGAAACTATAAGAGTATATACGAAATTTCGAGCAAATTCTCATTCGCTTCTGTACATTTCTACCCTAACTTCTACATAAACTCTCGTAATCAGCGAGGAAGCAGCCGAGCTCAGCAAACACCTATTCATCCAACACTCCAGAGTGCCGCCGTTTTTCAAAAAAAATAAATAAAAAAATAATAAATTAAAAAGAAAAATTAATTTTCAAGAATTTTTAACTAGGCCTTCGTGACGAAGGGGCGGAGCTCACTGAGTCCACGTCCATGGACTCAATCAATGAATTTTACGTAGGTCCCCGGTTCGCTCCGCGGGTAGGAATTTTCTCCCTCATTAAAGTTTTTCGTCCATATCTACTCGAGCTGATCGCATAATCGAGTTTTCTGATTTTTCTCAACACCTCCGCATATAGAGGAGTCGTTTGATCTATCTGGTAGTCTCCAACGCTTCGTACTTAAGCCAGAATAATTCTGCACGCACGCACAACGCGAGAGTGCCTGTTGTTGCGGTATATGCTCCGCTCGCTTCACTCGCTCCGCAATTTTTATCCCCTCAAGCCTCATCGGCACTCCCGACCATACCATATATTCTGCCAATCATTGTTCTTCATCCCACTCCGAGCAATGCAATAGGGCATCGGGGGTATCTATAGTACTAATTTCTAAATGGGACGCTTTACAACAAAACCAACGCTATATTCTTGATCACAGCGTTTTCCTCAATAGGACTAGCCATTCAGTTCACTTCGGGAGTTTATCCCATAATTTTCCTACAGATTCGCCATCTGTGAAAATTTCGCGAGAAAACCTTGGCAAATTCATCGTTGCATTTTGCATATTTCTGTATAAAATCGTTTGTGAATTTTTATGCTGTAGTGATAAAACTAGTTTCTTCAGATGAGGAGCCCAAGCACATATTCCCACACTACTTCGGAAACACAGATGGCATTTCTGAGAAAAATATGAACATGGTCAACTACATGTGTTGGTGACAATATGAAAATTCTAGGAGGAAATTTTATAATAACTTTTACTTTCCCAGAATATAATAAACTCCTCTCCCCAGTTGAAGAAAGCAAACTCATATTTCATCCCCGCAGTAGTAATTCTGCAATTCCTTCATCGCTTCGCTCCGCTGTTATCACCTGCGAGGCAACCTCCGGTTTCTCCCCATGCTCCAGTACAAAGTTTAGAGATATCTGCTGCAGTTGACGTTCCATTTTAGGATCATCGAGACACTGCCACTTAGTCGCCCTCAACAACAACGAACTCAGTGGCTCTGGCAGCCGGCCTTCCGCATCCAGGTTCTGTACACAGTACACATGCTCGAAAAATTTCCGAAAATTTTCGGAAAATTTTCTGAAAATTTTCGGAAAATTTTTGGAAATTTTTTGGAAATTTTTTTCTCGGTTTATAAACATCACTACTCGAAATCATATAATTAGTGAGGAAACTCCTCACCTCATTTGCGTTGTTGCCAACACGGAAATTCGCAGAAAATTTCCGAAAATTTTTATTTGATTTCTCAACATACACCTTATTCGAATCTATGCCGCTATAATTATCTCTGGAAACTCCTGAGCTCAGCTGCTGAGGAAAACGAACACATATTCCTACTCCAACACTGTATAGGAAACTCCTGAGCTCAGGTGCTGAGGAAAGCGATTACATATATTCCTACTCCAACACTGTATAGGAAACTCCTGAGCTCAGGTGCTGAGGAAAGCGATTACATATATTCCTACTCCAACACTGTATAGGAAACTCCTGAGCTCAGGTGCTGAGGAAAGCGATTACATATATTCCTACTCCAACACTGTATAGGAAACTCCTGAGCTCAGCTGCTGAGGAAAGCGATTACATATATTCCTCCATAGGAAATTCTCCAACGTCAAATTCACCACCATCACCTGTCCATGCCCAAGGGCAACTAGCGACCACAGCGCCGTGAGCATATGGCCGGGCTCGTCCTCCTGTACTCCTTCATCGCCCTCCTTAGCAAGTACTGTCTCTAGATTCGATATCAGCTGAGCCGTCAATGCCAAGTGCGAGGACCGAGTTGTCGCTTGTATGAGGAGCAGCTGAAACCAGTAAGGGGAATAAGTAATATGCATATGGTCAACTACATGTGTCGGTGACAATATGAAAATTTTTCGCAAATTCTGGGAAATTCTTGTTATTCGTTCCTGCACATATTTACCAGAATTCGTCTATAAACTCCTATAATTACTGAGGAAACTATCGCCGTTCGTCTCACTAGCAGCTGAAACGAAGGTGTGTCAACTTAGTAATATTCTCCACAGGTTGAGTTTCTTGACGCGAACATGGAAACGATAACCGTTTTATTATTCACTAATGTCACTTAGTATACTACTTATACATATACATTATGTGCATCATCACCAGTGTCACTATCTATGACTAGTTAACGAGCGGTAGAACTTTCTAATGCAACCAACATTACTGAGTTCGAATCCGAAGTCTATGAATGTGATTTTCCAAGAAAAATCATCATCTTTTTCCCCGGAAAAAATTCCGCGCGTCTTCTGTCCGACTTGAGATTTCTTCACCTCACACCCAGAATCGAATATATTAACTCCATCGATCGAATCAATCGACGCGGACTAAGCAACCTCCGCCCCTTCCACACGAAGACCTACTTATGCTATATCAACCAGCTAACGACCAACGAGCCGTTAGAATTCTCTTATACAATCAAAATCGCAAAAATCGATTCTCAAGAACATTTCGCGACTTGCAGTAGTGTCTATAAAACTCTTGCCTATCTTAAGATTTATATATCTATTTATATTATTACTAATAGGTTGAAGTAATATTGGAGTTTCACGGCCACCCTAGTGATATGAAAAACACTAGTGAAAAACATACTCACAACTACTGCATATCACCGCGAATATCGCGTTTTTCACCGAGTTTTACGCCACTTCACGTAAAACGGGTGGTGAAACTCCAATATAATACTATATATAAGATTAATAATAAAATTTCAAATTCCTTCACCGTACAGCCGCCGCTTACATTCGCTATATTTTCCAAGTCTCCCAGCTTCTGAGCACA